TGGGAAAGTGTTGGGCTTAGTTCCAGAAATTGAATATGACATATTCACAAAACGTCAGTACGCCTCGAGTGCAGTTAACACATGTCTATTCCCGCCAATGCCTAGAGGAGGAGTTGATATTCTGTGTGTTTATTGCGATAAAATCTCTTCTACTAGATATGGGAACCAGTCTGTAAATATTTTGAATGTAATCTCCCTAAATGGAAGTGATAACAGCAACAATAAAAAACTATATGTGCGTCTTAACACCAACATGATAGACAGCGTCAGCATCACTATTAGGGATCAAGATGGTAACCCAATACATTTTGATGAACGTGGGTGCACCATAGCAGTCTTGCATGTACGCCCCGTTGCAAGAGGTATATAACACCAACGCTTTCCCGCCACTCCTCATTCGTCTGAAACAAGCGGAGAAATGTGTGTCCACTTTATTCCCCCATCTGTTGAGGAATTATACATTCTGTTAACCCCTCCTAGAGGTGGGGGAACTGATGATATACGGATTTTCAACAGCAGTAGACGTTATACGCGTGGAGGAGGAATATTTTCCATTTTAAGCGGAATAGCGCGTCGAGCAGCTCCCTTTATCATGAGAACACTGGCTCCGGCTGCACTTAGCTTGGGGCAGAACGTACTAGACGACATTAATAATGACAAACAAACTTTCAAACAATCTCTTAAGAAACGCGGAGTTGAAACATTGAAAGGAGTGGGGAAGCAAATGATAGGCGGAAGAGTGCAGAAAAAGAATAAACAAACAAAAAAATTAGTAAACATCAAACGTTTTACTAAAGCGAAATATAATGATGTGCTGTCATAAATTCTTCTCACTCAGCTGGTGTTGTCTAAAGCGCGAACATGGCCGGATATAACGCTCTTGGCCTCCAGGTGCCATTAGAACACTATACAGCTGCTGTTAGTGAAGCCTTTCCTAAAGTATTTTCCCCTCGAGTGGTAGAATCAACAATTGCAAGCAGACAAACGGTGGATGTTATCACCTGTGAATTCTGGGGTCAATAATAAGTTTACAGACACCTATCTGGAATTCATCATCAAGGGAGTGAATGGCCAACTGGTGGATTTATCATCTATAGCTTTAGAGTTGTCTATTGATCTAACCGAAGAAGATGGAACAACACCTTTAGGAGATGCTAAAAACGTTTCGTTGGTGAATGGATTATCGCAAACTCTATTGAAATCCGCTATTGTGTATTTAAACGAAACAGTAGTTGAAACCAGCTCATTATTCTCATTCTGATCATACATAAAGTTATTATCTATGATTTTTGGGTGTAAGGCTAACCGCTATGATAAACTATCACAGTTTTTTAACCGTGTCGATCCTGGTAAAATTGAAGCTGGTTATTTCACTAACGCCTCGGCTGGGGAGAAGCAACGGATGACTGATATGAAAACGAGTGGCGTGAATACGTGTTTTAAACTAATGCTGGATGTCACATCAGTTAGTGAATACGTTTTGGATAATGTGGATATCAGGGTGCGGCTCGAACTTCAACCTGATAAATGGCTTATACTCATCAATAATGAACACGCTAATTTTAAATACAATATCAAGTCTACACGTCTATGGGTGGATCGGGTATTGCCATACCCCGAAGGATTAGTAGCCGTTAATAAAGCCATGGTGCACAACAACTCTCCTATTACGTATACTTTTAATAAAACTTTATACAAAACGTATATATTGGGCACAGGTCAGCGCTCGATAACAATGGACCAACCGTGGGGGACTGTTATACCAGAACATTTATATATGATCATCCTTGATATGGAGGCAGTGTCTGGTGCATATAATCGCAACCCGCTTTATTTGGAAAACTGTGAGCTTAGTAAAGTATTAATATCGCAGAATAGCACTAATATTGTCAATATTGGGTGCGACTTCCCTCATAAATGAGCCAAGTTGTATTACACTGAATTACAAGCCTTAGGCTTCGATAAGGACAATATATTGTCTTATGATAAATATGTGAATGGTGGAACCATACTGGCCTTTAATTTACAACCTGAGGATATAGATGACACCATCCCGATTGAAAAAAGTGGTAATCTGCGGATCGCTTTGGAATTTAAAAGCGGTGTGGCTAGAAATAAAGTCATTCTAGTTTATGGGTCTACAACAGGTGTGATCAGCATTAACGCAGATCGTCGCGTTATTTGCGATACGCGAGGATAAATATTAATATGAATTGTTTGGAAATAAATGAGGCTATCAGAAGTAATTTAGGTGATAAGGTAAACTATCTAGGATGTTTCCTAGCTGATGACATAAGGAAAATATTGACAAAAATACATACAAAAAAGACCTGTGGTGTTCATAATCAACACTCTGGAGTCTGGTTCTCGTAATAAAATGGGACATTGGATAACATTCTATGTAAATAAGGATGAAGGTAGAAGCGAGATAGATATACTAGACAGCTACGCCAATCCTGCAACAGGATCTTATTGAAGATATTTCGAAGAGTTTATGTCTTACTTCCAAGACTATGCCCTATATATTATGAAGAAAAGGATTCAATCCTTGAATAGTTATTTCTGTGGGAATTACGCTGTTTATTTTGCCTATCATTTTTCCAGACTAGGCTTAGAGGCCACCCTGCTTCACTTTGATGAAGCATTTAAATATGGTCAATTTCGCAAGAATGATGAAAAAGTGTTAAAATTCAGTTATGCTCAGATGAAAATGCCCGTGTGTAAGCAAACATTCTGCTTAAACGGTACTGATGCTGAGTGTGAAATGTTGTGTGACGAAGTTGGCTAGGATGTTAATGCGGTGAGTAATACTTTATGTAAGGATTGAATGATGAACATAATAATGTCTGTATTTATTTTTACAACATTGACAACAAAAACTTATAACCTTTTTCCCCTTTCTACAGATTGACTGGTTGACGAGCGTGCCGAGAAGGTTCGATGGACTGAATGAAAGCCTTTCCCCATCTGTCTGCTAGCTAAACCACCAAGAAGAAGTATTATTATTATTATTATTATTATTATTATTATTATTATTATTATTATTATTATTATTATTATTATTATTATTATTATTATTATTATTATCGTTGTAAATCGCTAAGTGTTTAATAAAATAAATAAATTTATATATAATGTGTTTACTTTTCCCTCGTTTATTGCTCTTAAAAAAAAAAAATGCTATTTGGGCAAAGAATGATGATGCTGTTGCCATGTTGGTCACGTTACGATACAGCTTACACATATTAACAGAAATAATACTCAAGGCTTTGCACAGAACAATGGTTGATGGTATGGGGGGGAGGAGGGGCTGAGGGGTGGGAGTGATTGATGATGATGACAGGTGTGGACCTGCCCGCAGTAGTAACAACAGCCCTTCCTTAACGAATCCGCAGTGGTGGGAGAGGCCTGTTGGGGTGAACATCTCCCAGACCTCTCTGAAGACATTGAAAAACGATTAAGGCAAATGGACCACATCCGCAAGAGGCTGCTCTCTCATACCCCCCTCAACGCTTCCGGCCTCCTGTAGGGGGAATTAATGGACGTCATTGATATCCTCTCAGGTATGGGGGCTCCCCACCTCCCTTCACAACATAACCTACATACTCCTCCTCCTCCTCCCTACATGACTGCATACCATCCACATAGCTTCCATCCCCTACCCAACATGACACTCTCAAGCGATGCCTGGCCGGACGCCACGCGTCATAACATCCGGGGAAACCTTTGAGATGATGTACACATGCCCACATACTTATCCTCCCCTCCCCTGTTACCTACATGACCCACAAAGTCCTCCTGACGGTACCCATCCCTTGCATTTTACCCCTGCGACCCAAAACGTCCCCCACGACGCAACCCGTCCCAGTCTACGGACTCCCACACCACTTTTGACTATGACCGAGTTCAATCCCCGAGGTTCTCCTCAGGTTTGGGACGGTTCGAGTCTCAGTTTACGCTACTGGTGTCGTGTAGTGAGAGAGGACACTTCTCGTGAGTGAGGCGGGTGAGAGACACACACACCTTAACTATTGTTTCTACTTTGTTTGCAGTCATAATGCTTGATATTGCTTGTTGGTTAAAATGGTTGTTAGCAATACATTCTGAAGGCTCCAAATATCTATGTTTTTTATTTCATAAATGTAACTTTAATACTTACGAAAATACAATGTACAACAACGCTTTTCACCATGTCATGGTATAGTAGGTTAGAGCGTTTGCCTGAGAGTACCCAGTACATAGGTTTTAATCCTCCTCATTGTTCTTACTGATTTTATCATTGATACTTCATGTTACTATGATTTTTTGTCCATTTGAAGAGAAGCATTGGAAGTAGAATTCCTAGACTACGAGAAAAACGTATTAAGGAGCCACCACAAGAAAACAATACCTTAGACTTGGTGTTAATAACAGGGACACACAAACGTATCACATTGAAACCGAGAGTGAACTAGGGAACACTGATTAAAGTCCTATGGTTAATTGGTTACCCCGTTTTTGGTTATTTTTGTTCGACCTAATCAATTTGCATTGAATACTACATTTTGAGGTTTATTAAGTTTATTCTACTAAAAGTCACCAATAATACAAATATTGTTATACCTAGAGGCTAGAGGTATTTCCTCCTACATATTATTTCCTTCAATTCTCTCGGAGGTTGGTGGCCTGTATATAACTCCTATTATTAAGCATAGAGTGCTAAGTTCTATTTGATATATGGTAACATATAAATGAATGTTAAATATTTTTTGATGATCTGAAGGCAATTCGAATTACTTTATATGTATTTTCGAGCAGGGGGGGGGGGAAATATTCTTTAGTTCATCAGGACATTTAAAATCGGCTTCATGATAGAAAGTTGAAAATTACCCAAAAAAGGGAAGCTGTTACTTTTATGTATTGGTAAATTGAACAAACTTGTGATCATCTTTTAATGATAGCTATAAATATTGCAACTTAAATTTTTCGTATGTAAGCTCAGTAAAACAATAATATCTAACCAGTTTGGCAGCATGTTGGACAGATCTTCAAGCTTTATTTGTTTAGCTTTCGGCTCTTCAGCTCCAGACTTGTTGTAGAACCACTGCTTCTCTAAAAATTTGGGGAATTCTATACCGTAGTTGACTTCAGACCACAACACGTCCCACTGACCACCTTTGTCATCATTTTCTTTCTTGTAAAACTCTTTCAATTCCTCCTTTTTCCGTTTCTGAAAAGTACAAAACATAACTATAACACCACACGCACATACACAGATCCTCCTAATGGCTCCTACTGATTTTCTCATTGATACATCACTTTAATGTGATTTCATTGCATTTGACGACCATAAGCATGGGTCATGGAGGCACTGTGTGAAACCTGGTACAGGATGAACATAGGCAGGTCGCTGTCACCAGAATTCAAAAGGGAACAGCGTGCCATGGTCACATTCATCCCCCACGACGATTTTTGCCATGGCCCGCCAGTTCATAACTAAATATTAAAAAAAAATACTTTTCAAACCAATTTTTTTCTCATAGTAATATGCATCATTTTTCACTGAACTCTGGAAACGTGACAGAAATTTCCTGCTTTCAATAGTTTGCCATACTCCCATAAAACAGGCGATTCCTTCACAGCGTCAGGTAAGGGGTAACTTAAGTAGTAAATAAAGGGTAACTATACTTTTTTTTAGTACTTCACACCACTAAGCTCATCTCAGTGGTGACCACCCACACATTAGACAGAGACAGATAGTCATAGACCGAAACAGACAAAGACTAAGATAGAGACAGAAACAGAGGCAGACAGGAGATAGGTGGATGAATAGATCGATCGATAGTGGTATAGACAAATAGATGAGCAGATGAATGGATGTATGGATAGATGGGTCCAATAGATGGATGAATTTGACATATGGCAACACATAAATGAATGTTAACTATATTTAACATTACCTTACCTTATCTTGCGTTACTTCCAGGGGTCAAGGGCCCCCATAGCCCAGTCTCTACCCAGTGTTACGGAGTTCAGCCTGTATGCCTCTATTCCCGCAAATAAGAGTCATATTTCCCTATCTGTACACATATGAAAGAAGGTTTAGTTGATTTTGGTGATTCTTGAAAGGAAGCAAGATGCTGCATTTGAAAGAAATATTGGTTTCAGTTAATGAGGATGAGGCTAGGAGGCATCTTCTCCATTTTAAGATGGCAGTGCGAGCCGAGAGAGAGGTGAGTTTCCGCTCGGAGGCAAGACCCCCACTGCATGCTGTTACGTCTCGTCCACACAACTCTTTGAACTACAGGGGCAATTATTGACTTTGTCTAGGGGTACCTTACCTTGAGGTTACCTTGAGGTGATTTCGGGGCTCAGCGACCCCGCGGCCCGGTCGTCAACCAGGCCTCCTCGTTGCTGGACTGGTCAACCAGGCTGTTGGACGCGGCTGCTCGCAGCCTGACGTATGAGTCACAGCCTGGTTGATCAGGTATCCTTTGGAGGTGTTTGTCAAGTTCTCTCTTGAACTTGACAAACACCTGTGAGGGGCCGACCAGTTATGCCCCTATGTGTAGTGGAAGCGTGTTTAACAGTCTCGGGCCTCTGATGTTGATAGAGTTCTCTGTCAGAGTACCTGTTGCACCTCTGCTCTTCAACGGGGGTATTCTGCACATCCTGCCATTCCTCTTGGTCTCATGTGCTTTTATTTCTGTGTTTACACAATTGTGTAATGAAGTAAGGGCGAAGAGGAAGCCTATTGACATAGCTCGAGTGCATGGGAGAATTGTGTAAAATCTTGGTTTGTGTCTCGGAGAGGCTGCAGGATCCAAGTAAGTTCAGTAGAATTTCTGGTTGCAATTCTTATACCATGTCATAGCTCAGTCGATTAAGGCAGCGTCTGGAATGCTCTCGGACGTAGGTACGAACACTCGCCACGGCCCTTGTAGATTTGTTCATTTGATGCATCACACAATTGTGATGTCTGTGTGTTATCAATCAACTAATTTCATTGGATCTGATATACTGGATGATATCTTACTCATTTATCCGAAATTTACTTGTCCATATTAAAGAAAGAAGATTTTTTTTGTTTAGCTGCATCTCTTATGAATCCATCCGTGCCTTGTGTGGTTGCATTTCAAATTCGTAAATTGAAACATGTATAATATCTGATATAATCGACTGTAATTTAATGATATATATTTATGCTTCACTCTACAATTTAGACCTAATATTTTGAGTATGATCCACTGGCCTGTGAGGCAGTGAATATAACCAACAATTCATTATACCAACCTTGGATTCATGATTTGAAAATGGAGCCGCAGGAAGGAGTTTGTTAGCAACTACTTTGTAAAGTTTTCTTGTCTGGATCCGACCTAATATCCTTCTTGAGTCCTCCAGCTCTGGGTTCTTACTCCTGAGGATCTCGTTGAACAGGTCGTCGGTCAGATGAATGAATAGTTCCCTGTTGTTATGTATTTCGCTCAGCTTGACGGCAGTTCTAGGTATGAGACGAGAGAGGCTCAGTTATTAAAGG